CCCTTTATGGCTGGCCCATTGCCACTTCAGCTTCTAAACCGTCGCGCTTTTTTGGTTACTCTTATTCTGCTGCATATATCCTCATTGCAAAGTTTAAGTGAGACATGGTTCTTCACTGCTGACTTCTTTTACGTGGTAGAGCCATGCTACAGCTATATTAATGGTATAGTTGTGGCACGAATGGGTCGGCTCGACCAGGGAAGACCAGCATAAAATAGCAGCTAACCGCTGCTGTTTCGTATGGTGAGTGTAGAGAACCGGAGACCCTTTTAATGAAAACAAGGCATTCCATCTTAGTCCTCACGGGTGTCAACGTATCTGCCTTTGAGGATAGATATAGATGTCTATGGGCCACAGCAACCACTTACCATCAGGTGGACTGTGTGTTCGTTTGTCACCCTTATCGTATAAAAAAAACCGTATGAGAAAGCTCAAGGAGAGGATGGGATATGGATAGGGATATGGAGAGGGCTATGTTTGGAGTTTTTTTTAGCATGATAATTACTATTAGGTGAAAATTATAAGATGCTTTTTCCAATGGTTTTATATGAGTGGACTTACAGATGTTTTAACAGAACAGTTAGATCATTTGTCACTGTATAAATATTATAATAAAAGATGACTGAAAGCACCAGACATCCATATTTACAGGTAATATGGTCTACAAAATGCTGTAGCCAAGACTGCATCAGGTGAACACATGAGGCTTAGTCATCATTATCATCATTACAGCCCTTCACAAGTCCACTGCTGAACATAGGCCTTCCCCAAGGAATGCCACGAAGCACGGTCCTGAGCCACCTGCATCCATCGACTTCCTGCATGTCTCACCAGGTCGTCACTCCATCTAGTGGGGGGACGCCCTACACTTCGCCTGCCGGTACGAGGCTGCCACTCGAGAACCTTTCTTCCCCATTGGTTGTCGGTTCTTCGAGCTATATGGCCGGCCCATTGCCACTTCAGCTTACTAATCCGTTGGGCTATGTCGGTCACTCTGATTCTACTGTGGATATCCTCATTTCTAAGTTTATCACGCAGAGACACCCCGGGCATAGCCCTCTCCATAGCTCGCTGAGCAACCTTGAGCTTCCCCATACGGCCAGCAGGAAGGACCACGTCTCAGATCCGTAAGTCATCACTGGCAACACGCACTGGTTGTACAATTTCGTTTTCAGGTTTTGAGGTATGTCTAAGGGAGAAGATGTGTCGTAGTTTCCCGAACGCTGCCCAGCCGAGTTGAATCCGTCAATTGACCTCTCGGTCGATGTTGGACTTACCTAGTCGGACTATTTGTTCCAGGTAAACATACTCGTCAACAACTACGAGCTTAGTGCTCCCAACAACTACTGGCATAGGTGTGACATGGACGTTAAAGATAATTTTTGTTTTGTCCATGTTCATCTTAACCGGTTCAGTGCGGGTGACACGCCAGGCGTGCCATCGATTACTTTTGTGTGTGGCGTAAGACACGCGAGTCGTGTCTTTTTAAAAATCGTTATAACTAGCTCAAATTGCTTTTTTGGAAAATTTATCCAGAACAAAATATTCATTATTTTGCGAGTAGTGCAGTTTCGTTTCTGGATATTTTGAAAATTTGAAATTTTTAGGGGTTGACAACCTTTCTTTAACGTGTACATACTATTTTTACTTTGTGGCTTTTAAATCATGTTATGGAAAAATTGTCTAATAAGTAACAAATAATAGCACTCATTGCGATCGCTCACAAACTCAAGTTGTAAATAAATTTCTAGAAAAGAAGTCTCCTGTTAAAAAAAAACAATGCGTTTGTCTTATCGTTTAATTTTGCGTGGTAGAGCCATGCTGCAGCTATATTATGGTTGTAGCACGAATGGGTCGGCTCGACCGGGGAAGGACCACGCTCTCACAGAATACCAGCGTAAAATAGCAGACCGAGCAAATTGTACTCTTCGGACTTCTGTACAGAAGTCCGAATTTGCCGAAGGGTATGTATGTGGTCTATGGTGCTAAAGCCCTTTCGGAAACCGGCTTGTTCGGGAGGCTGGAAGTCGTCAAGTTTGCGCGCGAGACGATTCGTAATGACTCTCGAAAACAACAGGCAGGAGACGCGGCTCAGAAGGGAAATCGGTCTGTAGTTCTTCAAGAGAGCGTTGTCGCCTTCTTGAAGAACAAGACCGCCGCACTTCTGCTCCCTGCCTCCGGTGTAATGCCACCATGAAGGACGGAATTAAAGAGCTTCTGAAGGACTTCAAGATCCGGTTTTTTTTTATAGGATAAGGGTGACAAACGAGCACACAGTCCACCTGATGGTAAGTGGTCGCTGTGGCCCATAGACATCTACATCTATCTTCGATTAAGAGTCAAAATGCAGATGCGTTGTCACCCGTGAGGACTAAGATGGAATGCCTCGTTTCCAGTAAAAAGGGTCTCCGGTTCTCTACACTCACCATACGAAACACAGCAGCGTTAAGCTGCTCTTTTACGCTGGTATTCAGTGAGAGCGTGGTCCTTCCCCGGTCGAGCCGACCCATTCGTGCTACAACCATAATATAGATGCAGCATGGCTCTACCACCAAAAATTAAACAATAAGACAAACGCATTGTTTTTTTTAACAGGAGACTTCTTTTTCCACCCGCTTTCAGAAGCTCCGCTGTAATTCCATCCTCGCACAGGGACTTGCCCTTTTTAATGTGCTGGAGAGCCATTCTAATCTCGCTCATACTGACGTCCGGGATATCTTCGGAATAGTGTCGGATAAGACTCGCTCTTGGATCGTTACTCACACTTGCGTGTGGCTCCAACAATGACGTGTACAGCTGCCCATAGAACCTCTCAATCTCACTCTAAATCTCAGGTGTCCCGGAAACGATGCTGCCACACTCGGTCTTCAGCTTTGACAGTTGGCTCTTTCTGGCAGACAGATCTCTGGCAGACTTTGGAGCCTTGGTTCCGCTCGATCGCTTCTTCAATACAAGCTGTATTGAAGTTGCGTAAGTCCCGCCGCATGCATTTGGAGATCTGTCTGTTCAGTTGCCTGTATGCTGTCAAATCTGTTGAAGAGTGTAGCTTCATCTCCCGTCTAACAGCCATGAGATTAAGAGTGTGATCGGAGAGTTTTTGTGTTCTTCTGCGGCGGGTCTTACAGAACTTAGCTCCAACCGCATGGGACAGTTTCCACGAGCTTGTCATTCATATCGTCCACTTCATTGCAGTCTTCTAGGAACTGAAAACGGTTTTGTAACTCGAGCTGAAAGGTTTCGGGACTTTAGAACAGAGCACGAGGGGGACGGAGCGTTGACTTCATTAGACGAGACCTCTCCAACTTAACGTTTAGGTTCAGTGTGCCTCTAACCATTCGGTGATCGCTACCAGTTTTCACCTTCGCGATCACGGAAACATCACTGAACAGTTGTCGTCTAGTCGTCATAATGAAATCAATCTCATTTTTTGTCGAACCGTCGGGGCTCGACCAGGTCCACTTCCTGTGAGGCCGCTTCTAGAAGAAAGAGTTCATCATAAAGAGTCCCTCTTTCTCCATGAAGTCCGCCAGCTGCTGGCCCCTTGGGTTCCGTTGCCCTATTCCAAATTTCCCTACTTTCAGCTCACCGTTCTCTCTTGTGCCTAGTTTTGCATTGAAGTCTCCCATTAACATCGTATAGTGGGTTTTGGAGGAATGCATGGCTCTAGAGATATCCTCATACATTTCCTCCACCTCCTCATCAGGGTGTGCCGAGGTTGGTGCGTAAACCTGTATGACCTTCAGCGAATACCGTTTGGTGATTCTGAGTATAAGGTACGCAACCCTCGTCGACACACCCTCAATCTTTACAACGTTGTTAACGAGACTTGTGGACGATAAATCCGACACCGCCTTGGGACAGATGGTCGCCCTCCCGGTGATAGAACAAGTTGTCGGATTCGAAGATTACCGTGTCCTCCCCCTCTCTTCGGACTTCGGATAATCCTATAATATGCCAGCATAACTTGTCTATCTCTTATTCCAGCTCCATGATCTTCTCGTCAGTCCTCAGGGTGCGTGCGTTGTATGTTGCCTGGTCGAGTCGTTTTAGGTGGCAACCGAACCTCCACCGGAGATTCTTAGCACCCCCTGCCCCGCCGTTACCATGGTCGCCACCGTAGCCAGGAATAGCAGGGCCGCCGGGGACTGGGGGCCGTCTCTTTGTTGCTCTCATCATTTGCCATAGTTGCCACGCTTGGCGAGCGGGTTGGCAACCGCAGTTTTTTTATTGTACTTTTGCTGTTATCAGGAAGATGCCGCTGCCCATCTCCTGCCTGTTTCCCTTTGTCACCTTATACGACACCCATGGGAAGATATGGGGTAGTGGATATTCTTAACCGCCACTACACGGCACTCTATATTTTTTTGTGGCTTAGTAGCCACAAAAGAAAATTGAGAATTAATGTGATATTAGACAGTGACCACTAACTGCCTAGTGGACATCAAAATAAAACAATGAATTGAAAATTCTAAGTTTTAATTGTATCAGAAAGCAGCATATTAGAAGCCATACCACTATAGTTATAAAAATTGTGGTAGAGTCAACCATGAAAACTGGAGCCATATACATAAACCGTCTCTTTGATTCTCTTCAAAAACCTTGAGCAGATTTATTTTATAATCATCGCCAAAGAAATTTCCACATTATTTGAAGTTTTCTACTTGTTTTACAATACCTTATAAAAAGGGTCCAGTGCAATGAGTTTGTTTGTAGTTTTATATTAGTGGGCCACTCAAAATAATGCCCTATAAATTATCTATGTCGTATATTATCCACGGTGAGGCCGGACCATTTCGTGGTCATGCTTATATGGTAACCATTTGTTATTTTAGTTATTATGTTTATTTTATTTTACTGTTTTTTTTATATAATACTTATATTTTTTACAAACTATTCTATGTACTTTTGTCATGCTCAACCATGAACATTTTCTTTCTTCTTTCTATTCAAGGTGGAAATAACAGTATTTTAATATTATCTAAATTTCATGCTATTTATCTTCATCTTTGCATTTGTGCAACTTGTTCTTTTATTTCTAAGAGCATTTGAGCAGATTTTTGAATGCTTTCATATTGATAACCTATATGCACAGCAATGAGCTGCATTTTTTTCAAATTTTCTTCACTGTTTTCCATGAGATTTTCTGTTGCAGCAAAATCACGTGCTGCTTTTGAAAGGAGCTAAAATTGTATTAAACTTAATTATGATAAGTATGCTAAGTCTAATTACAAGAAATCAATTCAACATACTTTTATATTTAAAAATATATAATACAGATAGTTTCGACCCAAAATAAACTTATTATTTGTAACTCCATCTTAACTCTAGATAACAAACAACACACCCTTCCCACCTTCTTCGCCTAAAAGGGACTTGTAATTATTTAAAAACAGCATCTATAATGTCGCATGTTAATTGAATTGGTAAATGATGGTTACTGGAACTGGAACAAGATTTTATTGGAAGATTTTGTAAGATTAATGTATAATTTTCTTCCGGACACACAAAAAGGAACATTGATTACAGTACTTACAGAAACTGTAAGAGTATACTTCCTTGACAGATACTTAATTTAATGTTTTAAGTATTATTACCTCCCATTCACTCTTTATTTAAATTTTACACCAACCTTTCTATTTTTAAACGAATATAAAATAACGCCTCAACAACTATAGAAAACATAAAATCGATTTGAAGGATGAAATTTTTGTGAGGTATAGATTTTTTTTAAGCAGACATATATTATGTTGCGGAAATGCGTTATTTATAAAAATTACCTCATTAGATTTAGATCCTCGTTGAATTTGGCGGGTGAGAGAAGAAATATTATTCATGTTTACTTGTACTCGCTCAGCTAGCCTTTGTTTGGATTCGGCAAACAATGAACGTGCACTGCTAGATGATGCTGACGTCATTGTATTAAGTTCAACAATTTAATCAATCACTTTAAAACTTAAATCTTACTATTTATTACCTATATGTTTGAAATATTCACAAACTATATTACACTTGAACTGAAATAGGGATCACAGAGTACTTTTATATATACTGAAAATAGGGATATTCGATTTACATCGATGCATCGAATTCACTTGATGTTTACAATACGATGCATCGAATCGATCCGATGTTTTGGAAAGTTATTGATATACTCGATGTATCGATGTATTTTCATAAAACATCGAATCAATGATAACCAGTCAATTGTAAAAAGGTATACTTATCTATCACTATTAATATTATAACTTCTAAATCAGAAAAACTAAAACATGCTCTGATTTAGAAGTTATAATATTTAAACCTGTTGGTGGCGCTAGTTGGCAGCTGTCAGCGCTAGCGGAATCAAGAAATTGAGATTGGCTGGTTGTGTATTAAAGAGAATCTAAAGAAAATCGTCTGGTCTGTCTCGGTCTTAAGGCGGCTACTTACTTTCGTGCCGCAGGGGCAATCTAGGACGAACAGCGATCGGGGCAATATCAGAACTGTCTCAACACATATGCCTACCGTTCTGTGTGAGAGTGTACGTCTCGCTGGACACGCGCGTTGAGAATGGCGCTAGTTTTATCAAAATATAAATGAATCGGTAAATATATCCTTGACTCTTTTTTATATAGAATAAGGGTGACAAATGAGCACAGTCCACTGTGAAAGTGGATACTGTGGCCCATAGACACCCATATTTATTGATAAAACAACTAATTAATTAATAATTATACCCAAAACACTGTCCTTAAAAGCTGCAATATGGGTCTACGACGTTTAAAAACGTTACGACGTTCAAATAACGTTCTTTCTACGGTGCTGCCGCAAGAAAAGACAAGAAGGAGATACTGCATGAAGAAGCCGCTCTTTATACACTTCTATCACCAGTGTCCAAATTTCATATTTTTTGTTGGTATCCATTGTGACGTGTGCTGCGCGCGAGTCGCTAACCAACTGATTGAAATTGCCCCAATTGCGCTACACACGTGGCAGGGGTAGCTATGATCTAGAGAGCAAGGAAGGTCTTGCGAAAATGTCGCTCTGCCGCAGGGCAGACTTAGAAAATTGCCCCTGCTTCCATACACAAGCCACAATTAAAGAGGCAATTGAGGATCATCCTCACTCCTACACCCTAGATTGCCCCTGCGGCAGGCAAGTGAGTAGCCGCCTTTAGACCATTTAAACCAGTGGACTCATCTCTCATAATTATTCCCCTCTGCCAAGGTATTGGATTTAAAACTTTTGTTGACCGATAATATACTCCAAAATACCGTACTGTATCACAAAACGAGCAAAACTATTCATCTTTATATATAAAAATTACGTGTCACATTGTTTGTCCGCGATAAACTCCTAAACCAATGAAATGATTTCAATGAAATTATGCACACTGTGTGCAGTTAGGTCCAACTTGAGAAATAGGATAGTTTTTACCCTGTTAAGTGACCATCAATATATTTTTGTTTTGCGAATATAAGCTTTTTTTTTTTTAGAACAACGTCTGCCTGATCAGCTAGTATTTATATATATTTTCGATAAGGACTATTAATATTTAATAATTTTAAAGTAATATTTTGCTTAGATACAAGGTACGTAATATTCAAATTAAAGTCACATTAATTGTAAAAACAAAATCATACTGATAATTTTCGCTAGAAGCTGCATATCTAAGGTGAAAACAGCTTCTGGTTGAAGTTGAAAGGCTGCTAAATTGTCACAAGTAAAATTATAAATATAATACGTTTCTATCGGTTGACTTGGGACACATTTTTCGTGAATTTCGTTCTAGACCCGCCGTCCATTTAGTAGTAGATCAATGATCATAAATAATAATTTATTTATTCTTTATTGCATTCCATAATATAAAAGAATAAAAAGGGCGAACTTAATGCCTTGAGGCATTCTCTACCAGGTGAGAATTTGACGTAGGTGTAGCAGTATAGAATAAAAACAAAATAAAAATAAATAAGTAAGATATATATAAATTTTACTAATATAAAAAATAAATAAAAACATACATCCATATACACATCAACATACAAATATAAATAGTACATATAATTGACTGGGAGAGAATGCCTTAAGGCATTAAGTCCGCCATATGTAATATTTTTCTTTTGTGCATAAAAGTTAAAAAAAAACAATAAATAAATAAATATAATTAACTATGAATATATACGTCTGTTAACAATATATTAGTTCTAAGATTAAGATACTTTGTGTTTCGTGCAATAAATAATATCTATCTAACTGTCTAACATCCTTGTACACACACACACACACACACACACACACACACACACACACACACACACACACGCACGCACGCACGCACACACACACACACGCGCGCGCGCACAAACACACATACACACACACACACGCACACGCACGCACGCACGCACGCACACACACACACACACACGCACACACACACACACACACACACACACACACACACACACACACACACACACACACACACACACAAAGCTTGCGGATAAAGACAGTGCCGATGTAAGAGAAGATCAATCAAAATTGTCGGTTGTTTGAATGGGGTGTCAGGAAGTTGACTACAGATTTATAAAGTTATAAAAAGTACTCGATGTTGCAAAAACATCGATGTTTCTAACCGATGCATCGAAAAATATCGATGCACAGTCTCGATCCATCACATCGAAAAAAAACATCGATGTATTTTCAAAGTGGACACCCCTAAATTGAAATATTGTATAATTTGTAGGTATGTTTATGTTGCTATTAGGGATGTTTGATGATAATCGTTGTTAAAAATTAAAAGATCGATGTTTTAACATCGATGTTGATTGTTGACACATGTCAAACATCGAAACATCGATGTCAATGAACCCTTAATAGATGATTGGGAACTTGCAAACAATGCGAACCCGCGAAATCAATATCAACTATATCTTGCATCTGCTCTGAAGAATTAAAATTTTCAATAATTCAGAATTCCTGAACGCATTGCTAACCTAAAAAATATCATTATGGTGTGTCAAACTTGATTGTCAAGAGTCACCTGAAATTTCACAGTGGTCACTACTTTCGCTTTATTTTGTAGTGATGTTGTCGGTTGTCGCATAACAACTATTCTACGTAAATTGATATTCAAGTTAATTGTTACTTTTTCCCTTGCTGTGTATACCCACATAATTTTGAAATAACATGTAAGTATCTACACATATACAAAAAACATCGATAATGGTCAACATCGATGTTTTGAGTAGGCTAAGCATCGAACATCGATATTGAGCTATTGATGCCAACATCGATGTCATCATCGATTATTATGCAACATCGAGCATCCCTAGTTGCTATATTGTGATTTTGAATAGGTGCACAGATTACTAAGCGGATACATAGATGAGACTGTTGACCAAAGAGTATGGTAGTCCTATACAGGAATGAAACGGATGAAATATTAATTTTATTGTTGAAATGCAAAAGGATCTATATAGCCAATTTTGACTAATATTTAGTTAACAAAATTCTTCACAATATGCTGATGCGTCACATTGCAGTATTTTTGTGGGATATATAGTCAGTTAAATAGTATCACACATAGACTTAGAATATTTTGTCGTATAGACGAACATAGTGTACAAGGGAAAAGAAAATACCTTACGCAAAAAATGCAAGACAGAAAAGGATACCAAATATCATGACTTTGTAACCGATTTTGAATGACAGGTCGGCACAAGTCAGCATGCAAAAAATAAGCTCCTAGATATTTTGTAATTTTTTATATTATAACAGCGTTAATGTTCATAATTAATAGTGTTCCAAAATGGTAATATGTCTCTTAATTGACTGTGGTGTTAACAATAGTAATAATCATGATGGTTGCACATTTCACAAGTAAATTCGCAAGACGTCGTTACTACTATAACGCGTCTATTTTTCGTTAAAATTTATGTTTTTTAATAAAAACCTTTTAATAAAAATAATTTTATTAAAAGGTATTCCTAATCCCAAGGCTTCCCAAGCGAATTTACGATCAAAAGCTTGGATAAAGGCTTTAGAATGTATTAAACCTGGTGTATTAGACCAGATCTTAAGTGTTTTATTGTGGTAAAGAGTTTCCGGGGTCAATCGGGCGAGGCTTTTAGAGATTCCACAAAATTGCCCATCTTGCAAATTTGTAAAGGCGCCATTACGAAATGTGTTATTTGTTGTGGGTATCATTGCACGATGCTTTTCACTTTTGAATATTTAATACCACCTACACATATGATTATGGTATTTTTATAATGTGCAATCAATTTTAAAAGTATTCCATTTTGCTTCTATTGACAATATCGTAAAGAAATATATTTGTACACCACACCATGGTAGAATACACGATACCTACTATAAATTTTACGGCACCTAACTTACTGTATTCACAAATAAATAAATGAATTTGAATTTGCTCGGGTCCAAATTGTTTACACTTTGAGCCCTCCCGTGCGAGCTTGCCAGCAATTTCATTGCCTACAATACCCATGTGACCCGGAACCCATCTTAAAACGATCTTGTTGTTACCTCCCAAGGCGTTTAGACGGTTTACGCAGTCTCCACCTGCTTGACTATCAGAGTTAATATAGATTATATAGTTAACGTAATGTTTTTGCAGATTGATTTCCGCACACTGAAGTATGGCGAAAGTTTCTGCCTGGAAGTTAGAGGTGAATCTACTCAAATTCATACTAAGTTTGAATTTAGGGCGTTCTCCATAAATTCCAAAGCCTACGTTGAGGCCTATTTTTGACCCATCGGTATACCATATAAGGCTACCCACCTCACAGATGACCTGTCCCTTCAGCCAGTCTTGTCTGGAGGGTAGTTTCACTGTATACTTTTTGTTAAAATTATATAGTGGACGCATGATATCTGAGATCATGCATAAGACCGGTGTTTCCTTGATTGAGTC